AAAGTGGTTGAACAAGTTTACATTCCCACCAACAATGAAGTAAGGTTCCTTTCTGTCCACATCCCCTCCAGCATCTGTTGTTGTTAGAGTTCTTGATTTCTTGTGAGATTTAAATGAACTTCAGAAATGTGAAAGTACTTAACATAATTCCTGGGATACATAAGTCCTTTATTCTTTTCCCCTTCCTTCCTTCCTTCCAACTGAACCTTCCTCTTTCTATCTGAAGTTTGATGTTTTCTCCACTAGATGGTGATGGTTGGTAGAAAAAAAATAAGCAACAAAAGCCATCCAGCAGGGACTTTTGAAAAATCTTTTTACTCTGCTTTGCCTAACTGAATTTAAACTTTGTTTCTGGTGGCATAAACATAAATACATTATTATTATAATATTATTATAAAGTTACAGGAAATGAAATCAATGTGAAGCAAAAAAAACCCAGGCTTAAATTGTCTTTAAGACCTTGTTGCTTGTTTTCGACTGACCTTGACTGTTTGCTTTGAACTCAATAACCATCTTTCCTCCCTTTCCTCAGTCAGAATGGGGACAATACTTTGAACTCCAGTGGATCTTCTTAAATATTAGTGACCACATTACACTCTCAGCCTGGCTGCAATACCTGAATGCAGGTATATTTTTAAGTCTCCTAGTATTATTGAACATCTAGGTATTCATCTTATAGCTTCATATTCATACACAAGCCCAATTAATCCCACATGACAAACATCTCTGCCATCTTTAGTAATCCTCCTGAAACTTTGCCCTTTGGTCATCTGTTGTTCTTAGTCTGTGATTTTCTCACCTAACCTAAGCTTTCTAGATTTTATGCTACAGTGCTTTGTAGTTTATTCTAACACATTTTATACAATTTCTTTGTATTATAAATAAGGCCTTTTAATTCTGTTTTCTTATCTTTATTAATATAAGTGAATTGATATTTGTTAATTTTTTAATCTTTGATATTTTTGTGACCTTTTAAATTAGTTTTAACTGAGTTTTTTTCAGGTGATACCGAGCAGTTGTTCAAGGTCCCATGCACATAGAAGCCAATATTGATTGTGCTATTATGTTTTCTTTTTTTTTTTTTTTTGTCGGTCGTGGGGCTTGAACTCCGGGCCTGGGCGCTGTCCCTCAGCTCTTCAGCTCAAGGCGAGCGCTCTACCATTTGAGCTACAGTGCCACTTCCAGTTTTCTGGTGGTTTATTGGAGATAGGAGTCTCACGGTCTTTCCTGCCCGGGCTGGCTTTGAACTGCGATCCTCAGATCTCAGCCTCATGAGTAGCTAGAATTACAGGCGTGAGCCACCAGCACCCGGCTATGTTTTCTTTTTTAAAGACAGAACTTTTATTAAAGACCAACTGACAAGGACATGCAAGGCATGTCCAAATCTGTGCCTCAGTTTATTGTCAGTGAGGCAATTTATGGGAAGGGTTAGCGGAGAAGCTGCTTGTTGATTGAATGGTAAATATTAGTTCCTTTGTGCACTATGCCTCTGCCAAGTTGCATGTTCTATACCTACCTTTCAAGGGGCAGTTATCATGTTTTCCACGGAAGACTTTGCACTTCTAACATTGGGAGGTTATCAGCAGGCAAACAGGCTTCTTCTGCACCTGCTCAAACTGAAATAACCATTTTTTATTTGGTCTCTGATGAGTTCTAGAGGCATTTCTTGTCAAACAACCTCGAAGACCTTTGTTACTTAATGAATTTATTCCCGGTTTTTAGGAGGTTTCACCTG